GCCAGAAGAAAGACTACTTGTTTTCAGTCGCTGACATCAAACCTTCGTGTTGCCTGATAAGTACCGTTGATTCACATTGGACAGGTAATGAGTTCGATTCTCGTCCCATAGTCCAGCTGTTCTGACTCATAGATATGCTGGGAGAGTTCCTTAAATACACTTCGATCGTACTCTTCCACATTCTTCCAATGCGCAGATCACAATCCTATCGTTTTATGCGTCATAAATTACACTGTTTAAAAAGTGTCATTAAATAACATAAATGTTTGTCAATTCGAGGTCGAATTGCGTTTATTTTTTGCTCTGTTACAAATGACACGTATAAATTGTTCTCGTTCCCATGGCGGAAGATAAATTCAACAACTGTGATCTCTCCCGAATTAGAATGTTGAAGTAATGTTTGAAAATGTGGGCCAGACAATTTTCTCGAACTGAAATCAAAGCTAGCAAAGCATCAAACATTGTTTATATGTCGTAAAATATTCATATTCAGAGAAATTGTCTACTCAACGTAAGTTTATTACAAAAACAAAGCGTTACAATCGTAATCAAGGGATTTGAAAAGGGTTCACATAATTGAAACCTCTTGAGTCATTCGGTTGTTGGTTATTAAACGTCTGCCGCGGACAACATGGTGACGCATGCAGACGCCATGTTAACTGACAAGGACAATAATGCCCTCTTCCGGTTGTTGAAAAAGTAAATGTTTGGTTTGCAGAAGAGATTATGAAACTTTTCTGGGAAAATCCCTTTAAAGGCGACATTTAGAAGCAGACACTGTGGCCCCCTTATGTTGTGCTGGTCAGTAAACGGTCCTTTGGAACTTTGATGTTTATCTAAAGATTTAGATCTTTTGGACAATACTTCCTTTGGAGTTTTGATGTTTATCTAAAGATTTCGATCTTTTGGACAATACTTCCTTTGGAGTTTTGATGTTTATCTAAAGATTTCGATCTTTTGGACAATACTTCCTTTGCACCTTTGATGTTTAGCTAAATATTTCGATCTTTTCGACAATACTTCCACATTGTAGCTTTCGAAAGGTCTTGCTGGAATTCTGGTTTCTTTACCAAGGCATATGAGCGGATCCGTAAATCTTTGTTTCTCTGTTGTCTTACTTTCTTAGGGTAGTTTTTTTATCTCGAAATAACACGTCCGTAATAAGATAGTACTGCGTAGTTAAAAGGACTGTGTTCAGATTCATACAACGAAAGCTTCGTGAAGGAAGTGAAACTTGGGTGTGGAAATTCACTGCATTTCTAGGAATCACCTTCAGCTACAGTCTTAACCAAAACTAGTAACTGTTCTCACTTGCAGTTTGGGACTAGTGCGTTGAAACTCAGCTTATAGTTTGTGCGTGCTGCATTGCTGCATTTGTGTAGTCCAGATTCGATGCTCGCCGAATTTGTGATGTTCATATAAAAATAAAGAACCAATCATCGATCTTCGTACTTGCGTCGTCTAGAGCAGTGGTATTCAACCTTTTTTGTTCGCGTACCCCCAGATATAATTTCTCTTCCAACTTTGTACCCCCAAAGTTGTTGGTGTATAATTCAAGTTATACATAGTATATAATCCACATCTAAAATAAATTAAATAAATTACATTACTGATTATTCAGTGTTTATCATAAAATAATATATATATTTTTAAATTTCACGTACCCCCTGAGATGTCTTCGCGTACCCCCGGGGGTACGCTTACCCCAGGTTGAATACGACTGGTCTAGAGTAATTGTTAGTTGTTCAGCACGTCGCCTGGTTGCTGGATTGTAATCAAGACACCATCACAGAGGTTTTTAGATTTTTAGTTTGTTTAACGACGTTGTATCATGCGCGTAGGTTATAACATGAAGTATTGGAGGATGTGATTGATAAATTGGAAGGAATGTGTAAGAAGAGAGTCGTGACTTGTTCAAAGGTGCTCTTCGAGAATGAACGCAGAGAAATTGAGGAAAACCATGGAAACCTTGAAACAGAATACGCGACGTCCATGTTTGGTATCGAAAACAGGAACTTCACTAGTATGAAGCAGTTGTACCAATCACTTCATCGTGATGTTTGGTTGAAGTTTAGTGATTAAGATTCAAGTTTTGAATATAGTGCAGCTGTTAATTTTTTTAATTAGTAAGAAGAAGAAAACAGTTCAAAATAGCGAATGCAGTGCTTTCTTCAGTTTCCCCCTTTGCATTTGTAGCACACACTGGTGCTATCTTTTTTTCATATTACCGGTTTTTGGCAGGTCTGATTGTTACTTGAGAGTTGTAATATGACCCTCTGTGACCTTCCATGCATCACACAGTCATATCTTAATATAGACACTGAACTTCTTGTCTGCTAATAAAGAAAATATTACACTCACTTGTGACCTTTCATGAACCATGGTAATTTCGTTTTTTGGACACTGAACTTTTTGTCTGCTGGTAAAGAAAGCATTACGCTTATTTATGTCAGTGATTTCATGCATATTTTTCAGTAATCGTGTATTGAGTTTACATGTACTAGCGATCTTAGGTGAACTTCGAGCGTCTATGAAACGATAATACGAGTCAGCAAAATCATTAACCTGGATTATTATTTATGCCACTAACCGTCATGAACCGGGTCACAACCCACAGTAACACTTATTTGCCATCCTAAAGAATGCGTCGCAAATTGCATGCTTCGCGGCAGACAAGGAATGATCGATTTTCTAGCTTGTGGATGAGTGGGGTTAACAGGATGTCGACGCAAAAAGGAAATTCTAGCATATCACAACGTCCGTCGAGCTTGGATAGATCTTTTGGAACTAAGTAAGAAACAGAAATGGACACGAGATTTAGAATTTGAAACACACATACGTATATTCAGGATAGATTTAGAGAAATTCTACGTGAAGATGGAGATTGACTAAACTGGATCAGGATAGGCTGCAATGGCAGATTTTTTAAAATACAAAAATTAGCCTTCCCCGTAAAGGTGCATTGCCACATGCACTAGTTGATTTAATTAATAACTTTTTCGACGAACATATAACGCAGACATCCTAGCCTCACCAAGTCCTGACCCCGCCAACCCTGCGTTTGGTTTTTCTTATAATTTGAGTTTCTCGTAACCGAAGTTGAAGATCACACTGTACTGCTTTTCCATCAATTTTCAATTAGGTTGTAACGTGTCTGACCTGTCGAGTCTTAAGTCGGTTTGTGAGTTGTGTCAGACATTTCTGATCCGTTCTGTACTGCAGACATGGCGTCATGTGTTTATTTTCGTGTAGCCAGGAAGAATACGTAACAACCTCTCACACGTAGACAACAGTTGAATGCCTAATAATACAGATCCTGAAAACAAAGCAAACATTTTATACCCATGATGGCTGAAAGAAAGGAGAAAGTGAACTCTGGGGTTGTAGAATAACCTTTGCGGCTTCAGCCAGTGTTAGTTAATGTATACTGGGCACTGCGGGTCCCAACTTTTATAAATTCGTGTAATTGATAATTATAAACGAGAAAAAAAATTAGAAGCTCTGACTGAAGTATTTTAATATTATCTCAGTGGTTTTAAGAGGAAAAAAATCTGAGGATCTCGCGGAAGCAGTAAATAATTTATCGATTGATTCTCGATTTATTTGAGGACGATTGTTGAAATTTAGAGATCATGTAACATCCAATAAAATTTATAGGAGCTCATGAATGGTAGCTGGATACTGATTTGGAAGGAAATGATTCAAGGTACCATTATCAGCGTTTAAATTAAAGATAGAAGCAGCACGCGAAGTAGTTTTGTCACTAACTGACAGCGGCCTAGCAGCCAGGGTGAACTTAACTCGAGTGTCTCAAGGGAGGGAAGGAGGGTATTACACAGGGTGGACCTGCTTCCGGTTTGTTTTTGTGCTGTGGTGCGTGATTACTGTTCGGTTGGGTTGCGCTGTAAATGGTACATCCTGTAGACCGTGACACAGTTATACACAATCATAAACTTAATCGTTTCATTGTCATTATCAAAGGCGACAGAAGGATGGACAGGACGTACCCATAAGATGTTCTGTGCCCCCTTTCGTTAAAAGGGGGCACAAACAAGAACAAACATTAAACCACAGACGCGACGAACAAGTGTGTGAAATGACAACTTCTAATGCTTGTTGGCTTTGTTCATTTCAGCACGGCGTGGGCGTTGAATTCATCCGCGTGCTACCTGAGACACACGCTCCGTCTCTCACCAATGTCTTCTCCGAATGCGCCCCGAACGACGATGTGGTAAGTACTTAACCTCTGTCTGATACCTCACGTTCATTAGCCCACCGTTTTGCAGAGTTTTCGTCTACTCCCTTCTGTTCCAGAACGAAGAAGGCGAAGTAGACAAGTTACTAAAGGTGTACATAGCGCGAGAACTCTGGTATGTTGCCCCAGAATGTGACCTTTGGCCTTTAAAACAGCGCTAGTGCTGTTACAGTTGTCTGGGGTCACTGCCCTTTGCGTGGACGGATTGTGTCGTCATTACGGAGGATTTCCGTACGTGGTGGCGCTGCTAGCTCGTGGTCCCGTGGCTTCGTGTAAAGTGTCCGTAACTGTTGTTCGATTTTGGATAAAATTTTAATGTGTAAGAAAGTTTCAGGATACTCTTCAGTATTAAGTTGAATGAAATTTCGTACAGCAGTTCTCGAGTTGTTCCATACGGGTCCTTCCTGTCTCCATCATCAGGGCGATGATGGAGGCAGTAAGGACCTCTGAAACGTCGGAAAACTTCTACCAGCCTACACGGCGCAACAACCCAGAAGACAGCCATGTTGAGAAAAGAAGTTCTTATTGCGGTGAAGATGTCGATTCGTTGTTTCTGAAGGTACAGAACGCGTTTGCAGAGGACAGCTAAAAGTCGTGGCATCGATTCTGCACACAGCTGTGCCCTCTGCTGCTTGTTGTGATCAAACAGCACAAGATAGAGCTTAGTGCAGAGACGCTGCCAGTATGCTGTGCGGGATGTCTTGAGCCATCCGTTAGGCGCTTCTCCAAATTGGAAAGTTTCCAACACAATCGAAGGAAGCTTTCAGCTACATTAGGAAATATAAACGAGGATTCATTAAGAGCAGTTCATAACTTACTGCAGCCCTCAGTCAGCTTTTTGTTTACGGAACTGCAATATTTGACAGCGATTTATTTTCTAGGACCCACCTTGAAGGGAGAAGGCTAGAATCGCTTCCTTGTACAGCCTGTCCGTTGCGTCGTTCATAGATGTTCATCGTTATACGTTGTTAATTTGTGTATTTTTAAATTCGTCAGTTTAGTAACAAAATTTATTTAAAATTACACGTATCTAAAACACCTTTAAACAATTCCTCCCTCCCCTCTTTGCGGGGGGGGGGGGGGGGGGGGGGGGGGGGGGGGGGGGGGGGGGGGGGGGGGGGGGGGGGGGGGGGGGGGGGGGGGGGGGGGGGGGGGGGGGTCGGGTATAATTAACACTGGAACAACCTTCGATTCGGGTGGCGTTGGTCTCTTTTTGGGCTGTAAAAATGTATCTTACAAAAGTATAATCATTTGGGGTAGACATACGGTGTTTTGTGGTAGCTTTATGGCTCTTATTTTGAAATTGACTTAATTTTATATAGGTATTTTAGTCATGTAATTTTCCGTGGGGTTAAAATTGTGCTGTCAGCTAAGATAACTAGACGAACCGTGTCATGATTTGATCCTGGATATTTTGGAAACAAGCCAGACTGTGCCTCCCTAAAGCCAGCTTGTTTGTAAAGAGTTGTTCCTTCATTGTCGCAATGATAAAACAACAGAATATTTTTCGAAATTCGCTCCATCTAATTTAATCGGCAGCATTCTCTTTTGTACGACACTGAATCTCCTCAGAAATCCCAGCACAACATTATTAAGTGCCAGAGTTGTAAGAAAGACACTTTTTTAAAGACGACAGTATTTGTTTACAACTTTCTCTTACACAAGCCTGTATTTATAACCGCAAAGAAATAAATATGTTAAAGACTGTTTTCAGAATGCACAGATAAAGCTGCTTAAACAGTGTTTGAGCAAACGTAGCTTACATTATGGCAAGTAGGAAGCTCATTATCGCCACTGGAAGATGGGAGATTTATTTTTGAAGAGAAATTGCTTAAAATTTTGGGTATATACTTATCAAAATTTGAACCTTGTTATTATTTTGCTTTCTCAGGTCCTCGGGAACATTCATCCTGAATAATTTCGAGGCCATGTGTTGCGTTTCGTCCCGATCTTGCCTAGACAGCTATAAATAATGATTTGAGGCACAGAATTCTCAGACCATAAAACAATTTACATGAAATTATTATACACTGTGTAACATCACCGAGAACAAGCTTCATGCAAATCATAATGGCAGTGTTCTGTAGAAAATTTAACTGTTCTAGGTAAATACAGTACGCGGAAAATTAAATTGTGTTCATGTTTACCTGAAATGAAAAATGCTTATTTGTGGTACACACTGCAATGTACAAACAGCTCAACATGCTTCCGAAGTAATAAGTTGTCTTTCTAAGCTTCACTGCTGATACCTCATTACATCGTAGTTCTGAAAATCGATCAGCACTACTCGGAAACTGGTCATTAAATAGAAAACAGAAAGGATCAAACTGGGTTAATGTTTCTGTGAAAGCTGCGTCTTATGTTAAGTTGCAAGAGTTACTGACCTTTGTGATGTAATTCTGTAGCTACGAGCCCGACTCGCGTGCACTCCTGTTGTACACTCATTTAAACACCCTTAATTTAAAGCGTAACCTCTGGTTATAAATATTCATATTTAGGTCGATTACTGTGACATAATACTGAATTCTAATGCGTATTCCTGGCTGTGTTTTACAGTTCATGTCTGTTGTTAAAATGTAACGAGCGTAATAATTATACAAACATAGCAAATTTTATCACAGACCTGCAGTATTTAAATCAAAATAGAAAGTAAATGTGACCATGCGTTATATTTTTTGACTATTTGTTTCATGTATAACAGCGAAAATAGCACACTTCAACACGCGATGCAATCGTTAATACCACATCAAAAATGATTTTATCGTAAGGTGTCACGGACACCAAAACTAACTCATACATACAGGGTGATTCAAACGGTACAGAGAACTTTTTATATTAAAATATCACAGTAAGTTTTAAAGACCCATACATTTTCAATGTAAAGTTACTTATTTAACATTTGGACTTCCAGAAAACTAAAATTGCGTATTAAGCTTACGACATAACAATCTGAGCATAGTTTGTGGTCAACCGCTTTATAAGAAAAGATTTCTCGAAAATTCTGTGTCTGCGGTCATCGTCGTCTGTATTCATCCATCTTAAGTTCTGTTACGCAACTGCTTTTATGATAGAAACACTGCCCCAAATTTGTGTTACGCTAATACGGGCGGGGTTTAATAAAATCTGCAGCCTGAATTCGTGACTTGCGTTTGAGAACTGACCTGGACGGTAAGCCAAAACACAATGCCGCATTGCATGCCTTGCTTCTGATCAATATTCTGGGACCGCACTATGTCGTCTCTACCATCAGGTTGTGCACGTATAGGAGGTTTCTTTCTGAGCCATCAAGGTGATGCTAATGAAGGGGGAGGCTACTAAGTGGCCGTGGAATGTGTATCAGCTCTGAAGCTTTCGCAAAAGTATTTACACTTTCATATACGAAGGGACCGGATTGTCCAAAAATTGGTTTTCGTATTTTAGGAGACCAATTTAAATTTCTGTATCTTCCTAAAGTAGTGGGGGTATGATTGTTAGTTTATTTCTCTAGATCAGTATGTCCGAAACTGTACGAATTAAAAAAGAGTTATGCTCATTCAAAATATAAAGCGGTTAAATCCCAAACGCCAAAGATATAGCCTACCAGAGAGAAGATAATTTGCATAGAATAATCCCAATATGTGTATTTTACTTTCATGGATTAAGTAAATGATTATGCAACATATGTTTTCAAATAATACCTATTGTATAAAGGACATCTATCTAAAAATCAAGTGATGTCTTTTCTAAAACTAGACGTGGCCTTTGTCTGTCGCAAATCGTACTGATAATCGATAGTGTAGAGTGATTACAGTGAAATATTTTGTTACAACACGTAGTTTTTTATCATGACTATATAGCACACTCTTTATGAATTTAAAAAGCGAACTTTAGATGACATTTGGCTGAGGTTATTATGTAAATCGTTCTAAGAAGTCTATTGGATTTTAGGTGTCCTATCAAGTTGATTCCGCCAGATGTATCCCCACCCCCACCCTCCACCCCCCCGTTTGTGCCGTCGTTAGTTGTAATCATCTTCGGTGTTTGTTTTTCAACTAAGCGTTGCCAACTACTATCGAGCAATAGGATGATTGCGTCTGATGAATTATGAAGGATTTATTCAGGTTGGACTGTCGCAACATCCGATTCTCCGGTGTTGTGAGCGCTGAATAATCTTGTTAGTTGGTTCATCGTCCTTGAGTAATCGAGACCGTGTAAATATTATGGGCTTGAATGTATGATGATGACAGATCGATCTCTGTTTGTGTATCGGCCTATCAGGAACATGAAGCAATGCGTGTTCCGTTGAGCACCTGGTAAATGTTTATTATTTGTTTTATGATGTGCTCTTTATGTAAAACAACGTTGTTTACACATTCTCTTTCGCGTCATGTTGTCGCTACTGTTTTAGCTAATGCGTAATTCGCTGTATTTTGTATGATCATAGTAAGCTAAGGGATTTTCTGTTTAAGAAATTGCGATTTTCACAACTGAGCTTTGGTGTTGAATATGCAGTATCACAGTATTTTCAAAATACAATATATCACATTTATAGAAGCGAGCGAAATAAAAATGCATGTAACGAAGTGTGAAAATGATTAAGTATCTTCGTAACTTTCCGTAAATTTAAAATGTGTGACAGACTGAGTGTATATAGTACGCTAGAATGGAAGAAATTCTGTGCCAACTACCGCGAAAAATAACCATTCTGTTGCCAGACATTTGATTGTCAAATGAGTCACTGCAGTGCAGGCATTTTGCAGTATGTAGGATTCGCTAGACGCCGAGGTCATTCACTTGAATGCTGCTCGTGCGTCGATGAGGGTGCCTTAAGAGGGGTTGAGAGGGGCTCGGGGTCATTTCCACCCCCAGTGTTTGTCAGCACATTCTTGTAGTGTTTCACCAACTTCCGAAACGACATTTGTACCAAAGCGGTATTTTTATAACTTGTAATCGGTATTTTAACCAACTGTTATTAGGTACACAAAAAGGGACGATCCTTACAAAACCATAGAAATTTGTTCTATGTGCGAAGAATGTAACAGGCCAGCAATATTTAAATTGCAATAATTACAATTTCTTCCATGCAGAATGTATTTGTTCCGGACAATCTTTATAACCGTCGTTAACATAATTTAGCCCAATACTGATCTTGTTGTTCTGTTGTCATTCATTCTTATAAGGTCTTTACATTAGTCCTTATGGTAATCTTCTATTTTTCCAGTAAGTAAAAATTCCTTAATGTATACTCTTTGTTAATTTTTCAACTGGTTCTTGAGAGTATGCCCTGCTGTTGGTTTTAAAAATCTTCTGTTATTGGACTAATTTTCACTGCAATACACGAGGACTGGGACAGCCACGACATAACATTTTTATTATGTACCTCTAATTTTACTTGTCTCTGTGATCTTATGGTCGCACACATCCATTGAAATTTATTTAATTTTTCGTTGATTTCTTCCTGTTTGTAAAATACATTATATTCCACGTAATTAAAATTATGATATTATTTATAATAATTTTTGTTGTCAGGGTGTGTCAACCAATAAAAGCCGTTACGTTCGTTTTGGTTTCAGAAATGTTTAACATCTATAGAATTGTTATGAAGATAATTTGTTTTCATGTATGGAACAGGATTTCTTGCATTTACCTCGTTTTCCTGTCAGCTGTTCTTCAACAGTGCTCTGTTTTCTAAACTATATAACACAGTGAGGTTATGTAGTGCCATAGTTACTGGACCATGTTAGGTTAGGACAATTCATAAAAGAGAATTGTAATGCTTTTCAATAGTGGAAGTGTTGTGCCAGGCTAGTACAGATTTTTACGGACTTTGTTTGGATGCCTGTTTAGTGGAAGGAATCATTGGTAGGTTGTTTTAAGGCTGCCTCCTATCTCCTGTTATCGTGGAGAAATAGTTGGTACACCAGTCATGTTTCTAAATCGGAAACACAAATGCTAATCGTGTTTCAGTGTTTATTGTACAGTGCACAATGTAAATTGTTTTGTGATTGTACATTTGAAGAAAGTTTAGTTTTGGAATAAAATACAGGAGCGCTGTAGAGTACATATCTCATTTTAAAATGGTATGTCGATTAAGAAATTTATTTAACTGAAGCTACATGGCTAACAGTTGTAATTCATTCTACAGACAAACCCTGACATTATCAGAGAAATGTGGTTAGGACACATGTTGTTAGCTCTCAGCTACAGGTATTTTGGTTGGTATTTCCACCCACCACTGCCAAATTGTAACAGTATTGGAATCTCTCCAGATTACTGGGCTGCTGTAATGCACACTGCAATATCAAACGTAGTTGAGTCATCAACCTGCAGCCTTCCATACATTTGGCAGATGGCTACTCTGTCTATGTATAAGTTCACAAGTGTTTATATTATTACACTTTTTAGTTTCTCATACTGACTGGCTGTAGACAGAACGACTAGGATTCAATCCCAGACGGGGGCAGAGGATTTTTCCTCTCACCTCTACATCTAGGCAGGCTGTGGGGCCCACTCGGCCTCCTACCCAATTTGTACTAAGGTCCTTTCCCGGGGGGAAAAGCGAGGGCAGGGTGTGACGCTGACCACTCACCCCTATCTAGTGCCAAGATTAAGAATGAGTAGGAGTTATACCACCTCTCCCTCCAAGCGCCTACATGGAATATAGTGGGACAGCTGGAATAATGAGAAACAATTTTGGTATACAATGTGAAATTTCTGGATGAATCTGAATGTGCTTACACATAAAATTTTCAGAACACATTTGTAATGGTATTCTTCAAGTATTTGTTGTTCTAAAAGCAAATTCGTCTTTTTCTGGTAATGGTTTATAGTTATCAAAGTAGGAACAGCATCAGAATGATTGAATGTTCCACATTCATTAAAATTTCTACAGATTTAAATGTATGAACAATTTTAAATCAAAATAATCTTTTTGCATTTTTTTCTACAAGTCACTTGTTCACATATGCCTTTCATTCTCATTTGTTTTCTTCACTATCTAATGTCTGTTCCTTGCCAAATTGCTTTAGTTTCACATTAGTTGATAGTTAACGAATGCTTCATTAAGATGCTTGGCCATACACAATATTTTATTATAGGGATGGTGAAGTTTATTGATGATCTTCTCTCCAATTAATTCCCTTGTATATCCATATCAGTAGAAATAGATTTTTTCATCATCTTAGGTAGTTGATTTTCTTAATGTTTCCCATGACAGAGTGGTCAAAAAAATTTATCAGATTCATATATTAATTTTAAGTGACTTTCTCATTTTGATGTTAAAATGAATTTTAATCAAGTTTATGTTTAATACTTTTTGCATTATGTGTGATAACAATATTTTCTCTTTTTTAGACGATAACGTGTGACTGTGAAGCAATTCCCGCTATGCAGCTGAAGGCTTTTCGTCAAAAAGGCGAGAAAGTTGAAGTATCCCACTTCCGTGTCAATGTGAATCGGTTTCGTGCCAGGCTCAACATCATCTGCATTACAGAAAAACTTCTAGCAGACGTCAAATGCGATGGCTGGCCGGATGTGAGTCACATTTCTCATCACTAAGACAAGTTCCTCACTTGTGGTCTAGGTATGGGACATTGACAGATTGAGGAGAGACTTGGTATGAGTTACTTGTCTCCATAGTAATACCAGGGTATATGTGACGTGTTTGTATTTTTAAATACACTTTTGAGCAGAATAAATTTATTTCACTGGTGCAAGGATGAAAATATAATTGAAATTTCAACTTTGTTAAATGAAGGAACAACATTACATTTAGTAAGTTACTACTAAATTGAAATTTGTGTTAAGCAACTTTGCTTTCAGCTATGTGACAGCATTTTCAGTTAACACTGACATGAATATATTCTTCTTCTTCTTGAAATATGTTAGATGACTTTTCTAGTTATTGTTCTGGTGAAGTAAGTATTTTGATTATGGTGACAAAAACTGATATTTTATAGATATTATGTATGCTACCTAGCACTGTTTCATTATGATGCAATAATATCAGACATAGCACCATTTATTTATTTATTTTAAACTTTGTATGACTCATTCAGTCCATATAAACTGCATTGGCTTACCATGCAGCGCAGATATTTACACATAACATTTTCTTCTCTCACCTCTTAACAGAATCAGATAGTTAGGGTATGTGGAAAATACCATGTTTTGATCCCATATTAAGCTAAAGGTTTCCTTTGGCATCCCATCTCATCATTGAATGCAAAATGCAGGTGCCACTCGCGTGGTGCATCTATAGAAAATGTGGGCAATTACCTTCACCCTGGCTAAGCAGGCAGAGGCCAGGATGTGAGTGGAATTTGAGTGGAACCTGTTTCTTTTACTCCTGCATACTAACGTCTGAATACAGAAGATGGACAAATTTACACAGTGTCAAAATTAAGTTCCAGTTATCTAGTGTTAGTCATTGGTACTACTAATCAGAAATTCCTAAGTTAAAGAATTTATTAAGGTTTTGGTGGAAGGGAGAGTGTTTGAATTATAAATTAAAACGCACCATACCAGTTTTGAGGGTTTTCAATACTTATTTAACTTTACTCTTTTGATGCCTTGCTGTGTGCATGCGAGTACACGTGCACGTGTGTGTATATATATATATATATATTTTAATAGACATGATTTCAAAAGAAATTCCTTCTGGCTGGGAGCAGGGAAGGAAGTATGAAAAGTCCTTTTTAAGATGCGAGCTTAAGAATGAAAGGTTATGCGTATGTTTCAGATTAAAGTTGCCCTTGCTCCAGTGGGAAGCATAAAGAATAACTTAGACGAACAGCAGCTTCAGGATGTGATATCAGAGATTGTGGTCTTGGCCCTCAGGAACACTGAGGTGCATCTCAACTTGAGCCAATATGCCACATGTCCACGGCTTATAAGGCATCGAGGCTCCCCACTCCACATACTACCTGTCCATTATGATAGTATGGTAAGTATTAAATGCACCTCCAGGCAAAACAAATATTATCTGCATATTAAGTTTGTGATGAAGAAATGGTAAATAAAGGCACATATATTCCAAATTATAAGTACAGGTAAACCTCGATTTGCGCAAATTCAGAATAACGCCTATTCTATTTGTTAAACTTTATAAATTTCTGTTTCTAATGTCTTGTCCTGTAAGCAGTGCAAAAAGTGAAAGTTTCAAAATTTAATTTACCAGGCTACTTCAAAATATCGTGTTGAAAGTCGCAGTACATTCAAAGCGTAGTTATTATCTACCAGTGTAATTCTCTTTTAGGCAATATTTCATCATGCCTGTCATAAGTTCCACCTCCTCCTCCTCCTCCTCTTTCCTCCATAAATCAATTAAAATTTCATGTTAATATATTTTGTAGGTGCAGCGTTTGTATTTTGTTCAGTTCCATGTGACACTGACAGTCTTAAAGCTAATAAGATCCTTAATAATCTTACATATTTTAATACCATCCTGCATTACACCTTTGGTCTTTGTCAGTATAAGAAATATATATTTCATAATTTTTTTTATTACAGTTGGGTTCACACCTTGCGTCCATTCCAGGAAAGACTGCAACAGAAAAGAGGCTTTTGGTGAAAGTTATTAAAGCCATTTCTCTTGGTGGAAAAAAAGGTGATTGTGTGTATAATTTATCTTATATAAATCTAAATGTTTTCTTTTATTTTTAGAATTGTATAAATGGTAATAACATTTATACCATCATATTAACATTATTTTGCGTGTAGGTTGTTCGGAACCATTCTGTGTTGTGGAAATGGACGAACCTCCACAAAAGAATTCTACTTCCGTTAAGAAAGACACCAGCAATCCTGTATGGGACGAACATTTTCTTTTGTAAGTACTTCACGTGATAACATACTTTCGTAGAATTTCATTTTTCTAAATATGTGGGATACACGTACCAATGCTTATAATTTTTCAGTCAACTGTTGATCTGATCTGTTAGTACCACTGATTGATATTGTGACTCAACGGGTGTGAAACTAAGAAAACAATTTTGTCTAGGAGATAGACGTAGAATGAAATTTTCAGAGTATGATTTACCACTTATATTTAAAACCTTTCTAAAAATCTGATGTAATATTGTAAGATATGTTTTTTTTGAAGCATATAAATTCAGATTTTTTAAATATTATGAGGATATTTGCAAACCATTTTGTTCCCATTTAGTGATTATCTGACAGAAATAGACATAAGCACCATGAAATTCGTATTTCTTCTCCTGCAAATATATTTATTTAAATATGACCAGAAGACAGAAATAAATTCTGATGGATTTTAATGTTGTTCTTTGCTTTTATACTGTTTAGATAAGATTGGTGGATACCAACATTTCAGGCCACAAGATGGAGAGAGTGTTTGTTATGAGCCTATACAGCATCAAAAACAAAAATAACAACATTGTCATCTCGATTTTCACGAGAAACTCAAATTTAAAATGGATTTGTTTTATTTTGTAGTGATTTGAGCCCAAATACAGCAGAACTTCTGTTTGAGATATATGACCGTGCGAATAAGGTCAACAGGTTCTTGGGCCTTGGTATTGTTGGTGTTGAGGAACTGCTTATTAACCCCAGTCAGAGACAAGTTATTTCTCTCCAGTCACGGCCTTATGAAGCAGATGAAGTGTCAGGCACACTAACTGTAGAGGTTAGTAGACAGCACAATTGTACTTCAGAAACTGCTAATTCTTCTTCTTCATATAGTAAGCCGAGGACTGTAGTTGAAGTGTAAAATCACAGAATTACACTGTACGTGTTGGCAGAAAACATTCCTAGCTTTTATCTTATTTACCTGTATTCACTTAGATAATTTATTTGTTGTGTTCTTCAAAAGCAATTTAAAAATATTTATGAATTAAATAATTTCCTAATGTACCAGGTCATGAGAATACATATATTAAAATAATATTTCATTAAATATATGAATTGCAAAAACATTAAATTTCAAGGACACTGTCTTTTTTTAGAACATTCAAGCAATGTTCAATTTCTGTCCATACTTCTTCTTTTCTGCCAAATTTATGTCAACTTTATGAGGATTTGTTGATCAGGAAAATACTGCTGAAATCTTTTAACAACTGTGTGTCAATTTTTTGAATTCTTAACTTAACAAAATGCAGGTTAAGAGTTGTACAAATAATAAATGACTGAAAAGTCCTGGACCCTCATTATGGCAAGTGCCCCTTCGTTTTCTACTTTTCAATTTACCTATAGAATTTAATTAATTAATCTTGTCCGTCTAATCACAATTTAAAATTTAAAATTAAGATAGTTAAAATACCATGTGATGCTCCTTATCGAAACATTCGATTTACATTTGGAACATCACTTTCTCACTACATGTTTCGGTTCTTAGATGAACCATCTTCAGGTGTGTAAAAATTACAATTATATAAACTTAAAACTTAATCATAATTTCTTATATGCAACTTTTTTGTAGTTGTTTATCAGTTATTAGTGGTGTTCACTTCCAGATTCCATTTTAATATATTTGAAGTTGTTCTATATATGTGCGTCATGTTCAAATAAACTTTTAGGTTGTTGAATGTTTTTGTTGATGTTTTTTATATCAGTCTGAGATGAGAGGTGTAAATGAGTTTCGACTGTCTGGAAGTACTATCGTATTTGAACTTACCTATAGAAGTTTTGACACAGTATTTGTGTGAGATTGTTATTACAACTATAATGCATTATTTTTATTTTGTTCTTCTAGTTCTTGTTTATAGAGGGAGCAGATATTCCACAGCTAGGAGATAAGCCCTACAAACTGAAAGAAACTTTGAGAACAGTTTCACCATCGGGGGGTGTGGTGACAACCACAAAAACTGTGTTCTCAAAACCAGGGGCAGTTGGTGAGTTTGTTACATTTTAAGTAAATTATACAAAAAGAAAAAGAGGACTTACTGCAGTAAGGGTCTTTGGAAATATTTACTAAGGATTCTCAATTTGGTTCATGTTTTTAGGGTAATTCTCATCATCTCCATTGCGGAGAATTAAGAATGAGTATTTTTTTCTATAGATTATACATTTCAATGAAATGAATGTTGAAATGTTATGTTTACATTAAAACTATTTAATATTATTAATTATTAAGACTATTAATTGTTATGGTCTTTATTGTATTGAAATAAATATGAAACAAGTTATTAACAATTTAGTGGTTGCATTATACTGAACATTAGTATTTTACAAGTAGCTGAAAATATTTACTGAAAATATTATATTTCAGAACATTTAACAAATGGTGGTGATGTGGTGACAGATTCTGCCTTAAAGGAGCTAGAAGCAAGGAATAAAGTGGGTCCCACACAAACAAGCAAAAGTACTCTCATTATACATAGCGTTCAAAGAGTGAGTACATTTGCAAATACATGCAGTAGAGGGTCTGGATTATGGTAATGGTTTTAGTGTGAACAGAAGGCATTTGCTTTGAAGAGAATTTATCAGTTTTTAAGTACTGCATATTTATAATTATTTCTTCCCTGTGTTTCTTATTCTGTCCATGTATTTAATTTAACATACAGATGACTATCCAGGATTC